GATTTCCAAAACTTGAAATTCATTTTTTTTTTCATGTCCATGCATTTCGATGTCGAGATGATCAATTTGAGGATATTTGGGCATCAAAACAACCTCTTCTAGTAAAAGTTTTGGGGTAGGCTCTAATTTGATTGTTTAGAGTTTTGGTTCTATATAAACATTTTCCTATATATATATATATATATATATATATGGAAAGTTTCCCTATGTATATATATTTATATAGATCCGAGGCTATAAACAATCAAATTAGAGTCCACCTCAAAAATTTCACTAGAAGAGGTTGTTTTGATTCCCAAATATCCTCAAATTGATCATCTCAACATCAAGATGCATTAAAAAAAATGGATTTCAAGTTTTAGAAATAGTGCATTTTGTAACACATTTTTGGACGGTCAATTTTTTAGATTTTCAAGTTTTCATAAATCTGTTCAATCTATACTATTTTTGAAGCTTTAAATTTTATAATTAAAAATAAAAATATTAAATTTCAATACGAAATGCCATCGTGACCATTAGATCAACCCATATTCAATTTGAGCTATTCGGTGTTTACTGTAGTTGTCAGCTAGACTCTCCCTATAGGTTTAGCCTGCTAGTTGACAACTACAATAAACTCTCAACAATCTGGTTCAATCTAATAATTACGATTATATTTCGTATTTGAATTTTTTTTTTTTAATAAAATCCGATTTACTAATTTGCAGAGTCTACTCTTGAAAAATAGGTAAACCTAGTAAAAATATTTAAAATAATAATTTTTAAAAATAAGTTGACCAAAATACCCTTAAAAATTATTGGGGTATTTAGTCAATTTATTTTTTTTAAATAATATTTTTAATAATTATGTTAGATGCTCCTGAGTGTGGCCGCTTTGTGTATAAGCCAAAGGTTAGGACTGTTTCCAATCCACCCCTCCTGATAACCTGTTTAGGCGGGACCAACACCGAGTTACAATCTTTTGTTTATTAGGTGCGTCTTGATGAGAAGATTAGAAGCTCCAAATTTCAAATACTTTAAATTTGTAAAACAAAAATTAAAATTAAAATACAAAATACAATCATGTCTATTATATCGGCCCAGATTTAAACTGCATTATTGGATTTATACTATTCCATCGGTTAATGCCTGATGTTATTTTCCCTATATTATATATCTCCCTCGTTATTATTTTGACGTCCCTTTTTCTGTTCCTTATTTACCTTTTTAATTTTTTAATTATTTGCATTTTATCCTTATCCTTGCCTTTATCTCCCTTTAATTTTGCCTTTTTGGCTCTCTATTTATTTTTTGTTTACCTTTAATATTTATCTATCAATATTCCTATTACTATGCGATTTATTCTTCTAGTGATTTTGGGAGATGAAAGTTAGAGAGAAGTGGAACTCATGTGAGCTTCTTTTGGGGGTATTCTCATCTCATTGATTTTGTAAGAAGAGAGGTATACTTAGCCTCTCTCTTCTAAAATTGGTATATCTTCAAATCGTTAGGAAAAGAGATGCTTCGAAATTTAGTTATGAATATTCTTATTTCTATAGGATTTCTTCTCATCATTTTAGGAGATGGATAGAGAGAATTGGATCTCATTTGAGCATCGTTTGGGATATTCACATCTATTCGATTTTTTTAGGATGAGAGATATGCTTAGCCTCTCTGTCTTTTTTATTTGGAATATATGCAAAACTCTAGTAAAAAAGATACATTTCTTCTCCTTCTCTCTCTAAGGCCCGTTTGGTTTCTTGGAACAAATTTTTAGGAGTCAGTTTTACTAAGAAAGCCATATCAATGATGTATGGTTCGTTTAAAATGACATTTATATTGGAATTGAGATTTCCGTAGAATTCCTGAATACTCATTTTAAGCCTAAATTTAGAAAGGGTGCAGCTTGCATATGGATACATCCGCAGGTGTAGAGGTAAGGTCCACCTTCAAATTTTATCATGGTATGTAATTTTGATGTAAAATGTTCTTAGGATTACTTCAAAATCTATTTTTATATTTAATTATAAAATTTTAAATTTAAAAAATGGTTAAAATCAAGTAAATCTATAAACATATGAAAATCTTGAAAATGGAAAGTGTAGATAATATGTTGTAAAATGTGTTGTTTCTGAGACTTAAAATCTTTTTATTTTTCATAGTCATATATCTTGAAGTCGAAATGATCAATCAAAGGGTTTTTCAACATTAAAATTACCTTTTCCGATGGATTTTTGAGGGATATCCGTAATTCTACATTATAAGGTAGCATCTTTATATAAACTTTTTCCATTTGATAAATTCCAATTCCACCAAAATATGTAGAATTGACGTTTCATATAAAGGACCATTTTGCTGTTGAAAACTATAAAAATATCAAAATTTTAAAGAGAGAAACTATATCAAATTTTAGAGAGTGAAAACATATTAAATTTTTAGAGAGAGAAACTATATTAAATTTTAGAAAGAGAAAATATATAAAATTTTTTAGAGAAAAAATATATGAATCTTTTTAGCGATCTCAAATTTTTGGAGAAAGAAAATACCTCAAATTTAAAGTTTTAGAGGGATTATATTAAAATTTTAGAGAGAGAAACTATGTCAAATCTTAAGTTTTAGAGAGAGAAAGTATCTTACTAGTTAGAGAGAGAATCTCATTAAATTTTAGAGAGAGAAAAGTATCTTACTAGTTAGAGAGAGAATCTCATTAAATTTTAGAGAGAGGAACTACTTAAAAATTTTTAGAGAGAAATTTCTCAAAACATTTAGAGAGAGTAATTATCTCAAATTTTAAGTTTTTGAGAAAGAACATATTAACATTTTATATATTAAAACTATATTAAATTTTAGATAGAGAAACTACCTAAAATTTTTTAGAGAGAGAAACAGTATTAAATTTTAAGTGTTAGAGAGAGAAAATATCTTAAAACTTTAGAGAGAGAAACTATATCAAATTTTAAATAGAGAAAGTACTTGAAATATTTAGAGAGAAACTATTTGAAAATTTTTAGATAGAGAAACTATCTCAAAGGTTAAGTTTTAGAGTGAGAAAGTATATTAAAATTCTAGAGAGAGAAACTACTTGAAAATTTTAGAGAGAGAAACTATCTCAAATTTTAAGTTTTAGAGAGAAAACATCTTAAAACTTTAGATAGAGAAACTACACCAAATTTTAAATAGATAAAGTACCTAAATTTTTTAGAGAGAAAAGCCACTTAAACAATTTTAGATAGAGAAACTATCTCAAATTTTAAGTTTTAGATAGAGAAAGCATATTAAAATTTTAGAGAGAAAAATTACATAAGACTTTTAGAGAGAAAAACTATTTCAAAATTTAAGTTTTAGAGAGAGAAAGCATCTTAAAATGTTAGAGACAATAACTATATCAAATTTTAGAGTGAGAAAATACCTAAAATTCTTAAAGAGAGAAACTATCTTTAAAATTTTTAGAAAGAAATTATCTCAAAATTTAAGTTTTACATTGAGAAAGTACTTTAAAATTTTAGAAAGAGAAATAATTTTATATTTTAGAGAGAGAGATTACTGAAATTGTTTAGAGAGAGAAACTATCTCAAAAGTTTTTTAAGGAAAAACTCTGTCAAATTTTAAGTTTTAAAGAGAGAAAGTATGTCAAAACTTTAGAGAGAGAAACTATATCAAATTTTAGGGAGAAAGTATATAAAATTTTTAGAGATAAATTATCTCAAAATTATTAGAGAAAGACAATTTCAAATTTTAAGTTTTTGAAAGAGATTGTATTAAAATTTTAGAGAGAGAAACTATCTCAAATTTTTTAGAGAGAGAGAGAATAAGAATTTAAATTTTCAAAAAAAAGATATTCCAATAAATTTGCATTTTTTTGATTTCTTCGGGATACGATCCAAAGACTATTCCAAAAAATGTTAATTTCAGTAATTCTCAATATTGACATTTTCCAAGATCCAAAAATCTAGGAATCGAATCGAGCCCTAAAAGAACAAAGGACCGGTTTAAGCTCTCTCTTTGCGATCCAGAAAACTAGAAAAACTATTTATTATTTATTTATTTTGACAATAGTATTTACTTTTTATTCACCAAAAAAGAATTACAAGACACTTATAAAACAGATGAAAACCAGCGACGAGTCCAACGAGGCACCAGAGAATCTCTCTCTCTCGAACTAGACAACTCTCTATCATTAAGGTAAGCTCTTCTGCAATTTATCTTTATTATGAATCACTAAACTCTCTTCTGCAATTTATCTTTAAATGAATCACTAAACTTCTTGGCGCATATTTGGTATCTCACTCTATAATGTTTCGGTTGCCTCTATTTGAGTTTCTTGCTTGCAATACTAAAAAATCCTCAGTCAAAATCCAATTAATCTGTCTCCTTACATTGATGGACATTGCTATGAAAGATCCTCGGTCAAAATCCAATTAATCTGTCTCATTACATTGATGGACATTGCTATGAAAGATGCCCCATCTAACTATTGTAGGTCTTGATATTCCCACTGTCTTATTGTAGAGTCAGTACCTCTTTCTTTTCTCAAGGATTTACACATGAAACACTCCCTCTCTGTATAATGTCATACACCCTCACAATCTAATGTTGTAGAGGTCAATATTCCAAATTTCTTGGTCGTATATAATCTTAGTAATTGAATCTAACGGTCCCTCTCAAAGTGTGATGGAAGTCAAGAGCCCTGGATTTAGGGCTGCCAAAGGGCAGAGCCGGCCCATCCCGACGCCCCGGAACTGTTCCAGACTAGCCCGGCAAGGGCTTGCCCGAGAATATTTCCAAGACGGGCCCGGACCTGTAGGCCCGGAACAGTGCACAAAAGTCCAGTCTGGCCCGTTAGACATGAAAGAGAGAAAAAACCAGTTCAAGAAATTAGATCTTAAACTTTTTCTTGGCGAAAACTAACTAGGAATTGGCAAAGAGAGGTAAATGAGTGCAAAAAGGAGAAGAAAAGACAAGATTAAACCATTGATTACCAATTGCCATGACTATAAGTTTGGAATCAAGAAAGGTGAAGAGAAAGAAATAAGCTTAACTTTTTGAAAGTTTTGTACTTTAATGTACAAAATGGAGTGGAAGAAACATGATTATTACAGGTGATTTATGTGGGGTGTATGTATTGGGAGTTACATTGGATTTTTGGGAATAACATAATTTCATGGCTAGCTCGAAGAGTTCAGCGCCGCCCGGGCACTCGGAGAAAGTAATGCAGGTGGGGATTCTAGGATTTTTGTTCATGAGCATGTTTGCTAGTTTAGCAGACATGGATACCAGAGGGCCCTGCAAAATCAAAGTTAAAATGGGTGAAGAGATCAATTGGGTTTCAGATCAACTTGCTTAAGTAATCAATTTTGTTATAAGATTTCAAGAGAGAGAGACCCTGTGAAGATGAAAGATGGCTCCATTGACATCGATGATTAATCTGATCGATGCCCATTAGCTGAGAACCTGTAAAATCAAATAAAAAAAATCTCATTTCTATACAAATTAGATCAGAGTTTGAGATTTGTTTGGTGAATTTGAAAAAACATCAGAAGTCATATTACTTACCATGGTTGTTCTCATCTCCCCAAGAATGCCATGCTTCTATTGTGTGCAATTACAGAAGGATAAAAATCAAAAAATGAAGGAAAAACCATCACCCAAAAGTGAAAATAAATAATTAAGAAAATGAAGGAAATTAGGGTTTGGGGCTTGCTTGGGGTGCAAGAGAGGAGATCTGAGAACCTGGGTCTCGAGAATTTGACGAATTGAGAGGGAGAGTCAGCTTGTTGGTCTGCTTCAAATGAAGAATTGGGTTCTTTTGGGGTCTCTGTTCTTGAGTTTTCTACCCAGGTGGCCATGGATTTTAGGGTTAGAGTGTTCTTGGTGGGATACTTTGAACGATTGGGTTCAGGGAGAATGGGCGAGGGTAAAATGAGAGAGAGAAAGAGAGAGAGAGACAACGCTTTTTATTGGATTTTTAGAGAGGCTGATTGAATTTTTTTGAGAGTGAATGCGATATTGAGTTTTAAGAAAGAGCTTTTTGGAGATCTAAAGAGAAATGGAAAAAGTTTATATATATAAGGATGATACCTTATCACGTAGAACTACGGATGTCCCTCAAAAATCTATCCGAAAAAGGTAGTTTTTAAGGTTGAAAAACCCATTGATTGATCGAGATGTATAACTATGAAAATAAAAAGATTTTAAGTTTAAAAAATAGTGCAATTTACAACATATTATCTATATCGTTCATTTTTCAAGATTTTCATTTGTTTATAGATCTACTCGATTTTAACTATTTTTGAAATTTAAAATTTTATAATAGATATAAAAATAGATTTTGAGATAATCCTAATAATATTTTACATCAAAATTATATACCATAATAAAATTTGAAAGTGCACTTTACCTCTACACCTAGAGATGCATTCGTATGCAAACTGTACCCAAAAGAAATTGGTTTTATATAGAGAAAGAGATATTGGGTTCGTAGAAGGAGATGTTTGGTTTTTAGAGAGAGAAGGAATGGGTTTTAGAGAAAAATTGGGTTTTTAGAGAGAGAGAGTGAGTTTTTAGATAAAGAGTTTTTAGAGAGAGAAAGATTGGATTTTTATAGCGAGAGAGAATAGTTTTTAAATAGAGAAAAGAGATTGAATTTCTAGAAAGAAAGTGGTTTAATTTTTTTAAAAAATATTTTAAATTTTTAATTGCTTTATTCTATATATTAAAATTTTAAAGAGTGAAGCTTTTATTTAAATTTTTTTTTTTTTTTTTGAAGAGTGAAGCTTTTATTTTTATTTTTCTTAAAAAAAAACTATGCTAAATGGGTCGGGCTGGACCTTATTTGGGCCAAGATGAGACATTCATGGCTAGTAAGGGACAACCTGGCCCAATTGACAAATTCTGGGCTTACCAAGTACGGCCCGACTCAGAGCGCTCTAACGACCTGGTAACTGGCCCATTGGCTGGCCCTGCTCTGGGAAGCCCGCGGGCAGGCTCTCTCCAATTGGCAGCCCTACCTGGATTGCATTAACTCAAAGGTTTAGGGTCCGTGTGGGAGTAAAGCCTAAGGATTTGTAATTTAGTGAACCCAAAATCTAGTCAAAAGGGCAAAGGGCAAAGGGCATCGATGTGCGTGTAAAGAAGTCTTAAACATTCAAGGGAATGTATACCATAAAATTACTTATTTTTGGCACAAAAGATCATAATTACTCGTCTATATAAGCAAAATTTAATGTAAAAAGATATCGCAACATTTGAAAAATTTTATAAATCCAAAACAACCCATTTTACATCTAATAGTAAAAAATAATTATTACATAATAGGGGGATTGGGGTCCAAATGAAAAAGAGATCATTGAGGTGGCTAGTTCGTTCTATTAAGCCGCACATTTTGCTTCTCTAATAACTCTCATGACGTTACTGTAATGAGTTCTTATTGGGTCCAAGGCTTGGTGGATTTTGCTTTTTCGGCTTGCCTGGACGCTCTGGGGGTTTGCTTGTAGTATGGGATCCCTCGGGAGTTAAGCAGATCTGTTTCTTTTAGATGCTTGTCTTTGCTTCTTTTGTTTTGCAGTACATGCAGATCGTTGGTGTCTATCAAATATATCTGGGCCAAATAGCTTCAATGAAAAGAATGCAAGATAATATTAGATATTCTAATATCTAATATTATCTTACAGTCTCAGATGCCTTGGTGTAGGGTTGACGATTACAATTAGAATCGAAATGCAGATGAAATAACAGTGGAAACCAACTTATGTCAGTTATGACCAATTTTAATAATTTTATCATCTCAAATGGCCTCCTTGATCTCAATATTGTGAGAACCACATTTGCTTGGTCGAATAATTCAGCATTGCACCCTCAAATGTCTAGAATCGACAAAGTTCTAATTCACAACCAATGGGATTCTATCTTTCCAAAAGCCCTACCACACACAACTTTAGATCATGTTCCATGCTTCTGGACACTGAAGGAGGCGCTTATGGCCCTACCCCTTTTTGCTTTGACTTGATGTGGATGGGTGACCGATCTTTGAGAGGGGAGGTCCTGTCTGTTTGGCAGAACTTGATAGTACAAGGATGGGGAGGACATGTCATAGCCAGCAAACTTCAAATTCTAAAATATAGATTGAGTGGGGGTAGAGAAGGTTTGTTTACATCAGTGCTAAAGTCGCACAAACAAAAGCTCAAATAAGTAATCTTAATCAAATTGAACAGCTCAATAGAGCCTTATTTAAGGCACAAAAACTTTGCAGAGACGGCTTAAAAAAAGAAATGGAGGACCTTCCCAAATTGGAAGAAACTTTTCAGTGCTAGAGGTCTAGGTCCAAATCGATTAAGGAAGGAGACAACAACATAAAATATTTTCTTGCCATTGCTAATTCATGGAGAAAGACCAATAATGTCAATGGCATTCAATTACCTAGAGTGCAACATGATGATAAGAACAGAAGGGTGGAGGCCATTGTGGCATTTTTTGAAAGAGTATTCACCTCAGACCCTATATCGCCATATTTTTTTTGGATAATATTCTTTTTAAAAGACTTGATACTACAAGAGCTAATGACCTTGAAACCAAATTTACCTTGGATGCGATTAGAGAGGTTGTTTTTTTTCCACCAAGGGACAAGGCCCAGGGCCAGATGGATTTTAGGTTGCTTTGTTTTAGGAATTTTGGGACATTATAAAATATGATTTATTTGCTTTCTTTCAACGATTTCATTTTGATGCTACAATTAATAAAGCTCTGAATTCAACGTTCAGTGCTTTGATTCCCAAGAAGAAGTAATTGGAATCCCTTTAAAATCTTCGGTCTATTAGTTTGCTAACCACAACTTATAAAATCTTAGCAAAAGTATTGGCCAATAGATTAAAGAAGGTCAACTCTTTTGTAGTTGAGGGGCCCCAATTTGCATTTATAAATGGAAGACAGATAACAAATGGCATATTCGTAGAACAAGAAGTGACCAATAAGACGAATGTGAAATAAAGGGGTTCTATATAAATTGGACTTTGAAAAGGCTTATGACAGGGGAAAATGTGATTATCTTGATAACATTGTAAGACTGATGCGATTTGTCACTTCATGGAGGAAATGGATTAGGGGTTATCTTACTTTAGCTCACTTTTCTGTTTTGGTAAATGGTAAAGCCTATGGTTATTTTAGAGCCAGAGAGGTCTATGACAAGGTGATTTCACCATTTCTCTTTATACTTGTACGGGATTCCTTCAATGAAATGATGAGGAGCACTCTGAGATCAAATCAGATAGAAGGGCTCAAACTATAGGAACATAAAGTCCCTATCTCTCATTTATAGTATGCAGATGATATCCTGCTCCTTACCTCACAATCATTGGCACATGTACATACTATTTGAAGGCTATGAACTCATCCTCTGGGGCTCAAATTAATCTGCCTAAAACCAAATTATTAGAATCAACTATTTTGAGAGTGAGTTGTTAAATTGGGCTAATTGGATGGGTTGTGGTGTTGATAGCTTGTCATCAAAATACTTAGGGGCTCTCCTGGCATATGGTCGATTGCCGAAATCTACTTAGGATCATATAGTGGAAAGATTCGAATACAAATTAGATGAAAGGAAGAGTAGATATCTATCCTTTAGAGTAAGGAATACCTTGATCAATTCCACTATGGCTAACATCCCAATCTATTATCTCTCACTTTACTGAGGTTCTCATGAGTCAATTCCTATAGAGTCGATCTGTTGAAAATAAGAAATATTGTTTAGTCAGTGAGAAAAATCTATGTTACCTGTGCATAGAGATTAAACCAGTAAGAGTTATAATAGGTCATCCTTTGATGAGGTCGGAATACACTCGGATGAGTGAGCCGAGGGTCTGTGTGGCCCTTGTGTGTGATGGGTGGCTCTTGTGTGTGATAGGTAGCCCGCCATAGCAAGTTGGTGGGGCATAAGGGAGTCCACCTTGGGTGGCACGCCCCACCCCTTCCTACTTTCTAAATTTTGTGCTCAAGCCAAGATGGCTTGCAGCTTAAGGAATTGTGTTTTGAAAATAATTTGATTTTATAGAGGTTTTTAAATCAAACAAGTAAAGTATGAAGAAGCTTGTGCATGAGTATAGAAAGCACAATATTATCATTGATATTTTCATATTTAATTTAATTGACAGAAAATTGGTTTAAGAAATATAGGATAAATGTTCTAACGTTCATTGTTATCTTGATAGCTAATCTATGGAATGAAGGGCGCACATCCCTCACCCGACAAGTCACTCAAGATCAATATTGCAAATTCAATCTCACTAAAGTGGCTAACCATATGGAAACCATAAGAAAACGTAATTCTCATTGAAATACTATAAAAAAGGGTGCCTTATACTAATTCTCTCACACATCTCTCTCTTCTCTCTGCCACATCTTTTAGAGGGGCACGCCACACCTAGTAAGTCTCTCTCTCTCTCATCTCATAAGAGGGCGCGCCCCACATAGTCAAGCTCTCTCTCTCTCTCTCATATCATAAGAAGGGGGCATGCTCCACATAGTAGATGTTCTCTCTCTCTTCCATCTTCTATCTCTTATGGCGTATCAGGTAAGGGTTTAATACTGAGAAGCTATCTTTCTCATCTATGTTATGAATGGGTAAGCCTTAGTTTGAGATCTAAAGCTTTATAAAGAGTTTTTGTTCTATTGGAGGTTTAGCCCATATGTTTTCCTATCTTAGAGATTGAGGTTGACCATTGATCCTGCGCCATTTGAGGTGGTGACTCGGAGTAAGGTGGAATAAGCCCTGTTGAGGTAATCTCCGGTATCCTATTTCTTATTTCTTGTCATACTTATTGCTTTCATCTTATATTAGTTCCAAGCTTAGTAATGTGGTTTTGATTGATTTATGAAAGAGTGGTTTTAATGACATCAAGTTTTAGATCCTAGATTTATTTTCTTTATCTTTCCAAATCAATTTATTGTAAATGACTACTTGTAAGTAGTCTAGCAAAAAAAAGAATAGAAAAGGAGAAGAAAAAGAATACATAATCCGGGCT